TCCACCTTCCATCCGCCTCCCCCTCTCTATTTATTTCAGAATCCCCTTCCCCTCCCCATTTCTGAAGAAGGGTCCAGGCCCGAAACGTCAGCTTTCCTGCTCCTCTGATGCTGCCTGGCCTGCTGTGTTCATCCAGCTCTACACCTTGGTACGGCAATAGGATATTTGGCTTTGTAAGCCCAAATTCACACAGTGTGAGTTTAAATATATTAATTCAAATCATTTCTAATCAAATGGACAGGCTAGTCCAGTTTGCAGGTGACACCAAAATTGGTGGCGTACTGGACAGTGAAGAAGATTATTTCAGAGTACAACGGGACCTTGATCACATGGACCAATGGGCTGAGGAGTGGCAGATGGAGTTTAATTTAGATAAATGTGAGGTGTTACGCTGTGGCAAGGCAAACCAGGGCAGGACTTAAACAGTTAATGGTAGGACCGTGGGGAGAGTTGCCGAACAAAGGAACCTAGAGATACAGGTGTATAATTCTTTAAACGAGGAGTCACAGGTACACAGTGATGAAGAAGGCATTTGGCATGCTTGCCTTCATTGGTCAGAATATTGAGTACAGGATGTGGGACGTCATGTTGTGGCTGTACAGGATATTGGTGAGGCCACTTTTAGATACTGTGTACAATTCCAGTCACCCTTCTATAAGGAAGACGTTGTTAAACTTGAGAGGGTGCAGAAAAGATTCACAAGGATGTTGCCAGGGCTGGACGGTTTAAGTTATAGGAATAGGCTGGGATTTTTTCCCCCTGGAGCATCGGATGCTGAGGGGTGACCCTTTAGAGGCTTATAAAATCGTGAGGGCATGGATCTGGGAATAGTCAAGATCTTTTTCCCAGGGTAGGGGAGTCCAAAACTAGACAGCATAGGTTTATGATGAGAGGGGAAAAATTTTGAAATGGCCTGAGGGGTAACTTTCTCACGCAAAGTATGGTGCGTGTATGGAATGAGCTGCATAAGAAGTGGTGGAGGCTGGTACAATTACTGCATTTAAAAGGCATCTGGATGGGTACGTGAATAGGAAGTTTTTAGAGGGATATGGGCCAAATGAAATTAGGTCAGTTTAGGATATCTGGTCAGCATGGACGGGTTGGACCGAAGGGTTTGTTTCCGTGTTGTATGACTCTATGACTCTAATTCATTGTACATGAGCTAACCTTCAATTAGGAATTTCATTACCTGTGGTAGAAAGATCCACACTGATGAGAGGAGAACACAAAAAGGTGCCACTGTACTTCCAACCCGAGCCATCATACTTCCAGTACCAACAGCCAACGAACTGAAATAAAGATTTTTTAAACTTACTCAGTAGCCCTTATTAAACATAGAATTATTAAACATAACATTTGGAGCTCACACAGCTTTGATGGTGGCAGTTGGACAGAATTTTTGGGAGCGCGTGCCAAATTTGGCTTGGTTGTTTTAGCAGGTTATCTATGGGATCCGTTATATTTTCCAGTTGTGAAATTGGAAGAACTCCTCAGAATTGGGCATGACATACCATTATTGTGGTCTCTACTTTAATGTGTGATCACCAGGCCTCTGGACTGGCGCTGTTCACCCATTTCCTTTATCCATGTGGACAGACCTTCAGCAAAAAAGCTGTAACTGAATCATAATTCACTCCTTTTTGATATAAAATCTGCACATTACCCTAATTCCAGAGGACCATAGGCTACTCTTTCATTACAGAGAGAAAACCGGCAATGACTTTAACCTGATGTTCACTTATATGAGACAGAGGTGAAGAGAATTTTCACTTCTTTGCAACTTTCTTTTCAAAAGGCGATGGAAGCAGAATCCTTGAACACTTTTAAGGCAGAGGTAGATAGACATAAGCAAGGGAATGGAAGATAAATGGAGACTGGCAGGAATTTGGTGCTTTAAGATCAGCCATGATCTTATTGAATATAGGAGAAGATCTGAGGGGCAGAGTGGCCTATACTACCTAATTTGTCTGTTCATATATACTCTGAAATTAGATGTAATGTCAAGGTCCTCTTGTGGGGAAGGTGTTAGAATTAATCATGAAAAGATCACAGTTAGACACTTCGAAAAATTCAAGGTGGCAAATCAACATGAAAGCTTTTGTGAAAGGACCATCGTATTTAATCAATTTATTGAAGCTCTTTGAAGGGCTAACATAAACTGTGGACAAAGAAGAGCCTGTTATCAATGGATTTCCATAAGGTATTTGACAAAGTGCTACATAAAAGGTTATTGTGCAAAGTAAATGCACCTCGTGTAGGTGTAGCATATTACTATGGATAGACATTTAGCTGGCTGGTAAAAAATAGAGAATATGCATAAGTAAATCTTCTACTGATTTCGCAGTATGTGGACTCCTGCAGTGGCCTCAGGTTTTTGCAATTTATATCAATGACTTAGTTGAAGGGAATGAAATCATGGAGCCATATTTGCAGATGACACAGAGATAGTAAGGTATGCAATGAAGAGGACTTCAGGATGTTGTAGACCAACATAGATAAGTTGAGTGAGTAAGCAAAAACTTTTCAGATGGAGAATGTGGGAAAACGTGAAATTACTCATTTTGGTAAGAAGAATAATAAAGCAGAATATTATTTAGACAGCGAAAGCCAGCAGAATCATAAGGTGCAAATGTGTTCTAGTGCATTAGTCTCAAAATGTTAATATGCATATCTAGGGAACAATCAAGGGGGCTAATGGAATGCTATCCTTTACTACAAGAGAAACTGGAAAGTGAGGATGTTCTGCTTCAGTTATACTTATTCTTCATTGGTGAGACCACAGATGTGTGCAATTTGGTGTCCTTATTAAGGAAGGATGTAAATGCATTAGAGATGTTTCACAGCAGGCTTACAGAATGGTACGTGGAATAAGTGGCTTGCCTTAGAAGAAAAGGTTGGACCAACTTGGCTTGTTTTCACTGACATTTAAAAGTGTGAGGGATGTTTTGATTGAAATATACACAGATCCTGAATGGTCTTGACAAGGTGTACATGGAAAGGATGCTTCGTCTTGAGGGCAAGTCCAGAGCTAGAGGCACTGTTTCAAAATTAGGGGTCGCCTTTCTTGAACAGAGTTGAGGAGAATTTTTTCCCCTCAGTGGGTTGTGTAACTTTGAACTCTGTCTCAGTGGAGTGGAGGTGGAGTTATTGAATATTTTTAAGGTGGGAAGTAGATGGATTTTTGTTAGGCTGGGAAATCAAAGGTTATTGGGAGTAGATGGAAATGTGGAATTCGAATCACAAACGGATCAGCCACGATGTTCTTGAATATCGAGAGGCTCGAGGGGCTAAATGGCCTGGTTCTGCTCCTAACTCACCTGTTTGTATGTGAGGTGTTCTTCAATGAGCACATGAATCTCAGTAACCTGCCTGGAGAATTGCAATGCTGGTTCTCTGATGTCTCAGGTTAGCTTCACCTTTAGCAATAGCTCATATGTTGAGGGTATAACCCATATTGCCATTCCTGCCTCTTGTCCCCCTCCTCATGAACAGGGGTCTGCCTTATCTGTGGATGATATTGTCCCTCATTGTCAGCAGACACAAAATCTGAAAGTCGTGCTCCCATTACCAGCTGTTGCCTTTCTCGTGCTTAGCTGGACTCCCAGGAATGGTTGGAAGCCTTCCTTCTCCTCTCTGTCCCCATGATGTTGGTAGGGTGGCATCAGAGTCTGTTTTGACTACTCTTTCCATAGCCTGTGCTCCCTGATGGAGGTGTGGGCCAATGGGTGAGTTCCTCTCTAACCCATGCTGCCTTTCATGGAAGCACTTCCATTTCAGGGTGAGTTAGAACCATGACTTTTTCCCCACTATGTTATCAATTCCATGCAACTAGTCTGCTCCTGAGTAAGCCTGCAATCTATGAGCTCACATTAAAATTCCGAATGAGCCTTTACAAGCTGTCTTTGGTCTTCTTGACCAGCTCAGTTGAAATTATTGCTGAATTTTTTTTTGGGTCTCTTTCGACAGTCTTCCACTGATCTGATGAAACTTTCTGGCAACGGGAAACTCTCTTTTCAGCCAGCATTGCTTTTTTGAGCCTACTTACCTACTCACTCTGCTGTCCCAGTGGAACCTAAACACCCTGCTTTACATGTTAGTTACAAAGAGAGGTGTATCTGGAGTTGTGTATAAAATGGAGTCTGGCAGTAAAATTCACAAACCATCTCTGGTTGATTAGATTTCTTATTTTTGGTTGAACATTACATTGTCCAGTTCTGAAGAATGGTCACTTGTACTCGAAACGTTAACATTGCATTCTCTTCACAGATGCTTCCAGAGTTTCTCTAGCAACTTTGGTTTTTGTTTGTTTCAGATCTCCAACATATGCAGCTCTTTGTTTTATTTTTATATTGGCTGCTAGGATAAGATGGGGCGAGGAACCACAGAGCAGTACCAAAGTCAATGCCTTTGCAAAGCAGAAAATAAACCATTGATGCCTCTTTATAGAGCTTTGAAGGGATGAGGGAAAATACAAGGACTGTGTTGTCAAAGGTAGATAGCCATCAGAAATAAAACATCATCTTTATATTACACAGTTTATTAATTTTGATTTCTGAAGCAATGACTGAATCGCTGTCAAAAACAGTTTGCATTCCATCTAAAACTTTTAACGTAGCTTTTGGCATGATAAATAGTGTAGTTTCATACAATAAACTGCTACACACAACTGTATTTGTTGTGTGAAATAACCCAAAGCAGTTGGAGTCCAGTTTGTGCCACTCACCGTATTATAGTTGGGTACAGCTCAGCAGTGTACAGGTATATCAATCCAAATGCCACAGCTATTGCAAACTTTCCAATCATGCTCACAGCGATTGACAGGGCCTTAATGTCCTAGATAAGTAGGGAAAAAAAACTACTCAGTATGACTTCCCCAACACATTTCACTCTGAAACTACTTTCTATTCTAGCAACTTCCTCATCTCGGCCATGCTACATCGGAAGGTCAGATAAATATTCACAAATGAGGAAGAGATTCAGAGGGTGCACTGTCATTCGAGTCACTCTCATTCTCTGTTTAGAAGCCACTGCACCAATGTCAACATCCGGAGTCAGATTCACTGCGCTCTTGGAAATCCGCAAGGACAGAAAAATAAGTTCAGAGCAAAAGGTACATTAGGCATGGAGATGAATGAGGCTGACCAAGCCTGTTACACTGTTACACCTCATCTGTTAGTCAAATGAAGATGGACTTTGGTTCAGGTTTATATTAACAAGCAAGAACAGGTATCAAGGCAAGCCTTAAAAAATACTGAAGATGTGAATCAATTCCAGAAATGAGTTGAACCGAATAATTCAGCTGGACGCTGGTGAGTAAATGGGAGAAATTGGTTAGTGGGGGTTTATGATCTAAATTTAATTGTCCTAATGTTAGTTTTAAACTAAAAGGAAACACTGTGTTGAATTTCTCTTCTTCAAACTGTTGCTTTCTGTCAAAGTTAAAAGTTTTAGTCCTAGAATATCTTGAGGATAAAAATGATCTTAGAAGCTCACCTGGGGAATCACCATGCTGAGAAAACATGCCACACCAGTCAGGAACAGGGATGGTGCCAAAGTATTCCTTCTTCCCAATTTGTCCATTACAAAACAAGCAACAATATAGGAAGGAATTTCCACTGCACCTGTCAACGAATACATAGTCATAAATAGTGTATCTGGTGGGAACTAGAGAAGTTCTTCAATAAGTCCACACAAAAGTTCTTTTATGAAAAAAAATTCTGTCTCTACCTTTCTTGATCTGCCTGGCTCACATGATACCCTGAGGTTAAAGAGAATACTCTAGATTGATCCTTTCCTGTGGAAATGTCCCAAAGTAGTTAAGATTTGTTTCCTTTTTACAAAGGATTGCACGGCCACACATTTAGTGCAAAGGTTAAGATTTTTCAGTGTTAACTTTATATTCAAACATTGATTCAGATAAATTCACCAATTATGTTCAAATAAATAGTGTCAATGAATTTATTTGGAGCTGACAGGGATGATTGATACAAACACATAATAAATATTTTGATTTTTGCTTAAGAGAGCCAGTTTTGTTAATTATTTGATGCCAAGATAAATCTTTGACAAGACAAATAAATTCTGTCCTGACCACATTGCGTGAATGAATTTCAAAAAATGACCTTCCTTTCCTCAGCACAGATTCATAAGCTATTTTAACAATATTTAAATTGTTTGCAAAAGCAAGAAAGCTGGAATGTAGGAGTTACTTTGAACAGTTATGCATAATGAAACAAGGTGTACATGAGACAGCCAACAAATGAACAACTTTTGTGTTATATTTCATGAATTGTTTTAGTTCTGTGGTCCAGCTGCTAAATTGCAAATGGAATCAGAGCCTGTAAATGTAATATATTGGGCTGAAGCTTACCAGAAATCGGTTAAGTGTCATTTTTCTTGCACCTGATGGAGGGCTTCTCATGCTATTGCCCCAGAGTTGCCTCAATAACCATGTACCATGCCCCTATGGTTCCCCACTCATCCAGGTCTCCAATTCGCTGGAAGTACAAGTTCCAGGAATCATGGGTGGGTGCCATGCTTAAAGCCCAGCTCTGCACCTGGTCAAATATTGGCAGTCTGGTGTTGTCCTTCGCCATGAACATGACAGGACAGCAACCACAAACCAATTCTCAGGGCACATAGGTGGTACAGCTAACAATCCCTCACACTGTGCTAAATGGGACACACTTCACACAGATCTAGCAACTCAAGACTGGGCATCCATGAGGTGCTGTGGGCCATCAACAGCAGCAGAATTGTACTCCAACACAATCTGTAACTTCGTGGCCCGGCATATCCCCCACTCAACCATTACCATCAAGCCAGGGGATCAACCCTGGTTCAATGAAGAGTGCAGGAGGGCATGCCAGGAGCAGCACCAGGCATACCTGAAGATGAGGTGTCAACTTGGTAAAGCCACCAAACAGGATGACTTGCCAAAGAGTGAAAGCAGCAAGTGATAGACAGAGCAAAGCAATCCCACAACCAACGGATCAGTCCTGCCACATCCAGTCGTGAATGGTGGTAGACAATTAAACAACTCACTGGAGGAGGCGGCTCCACAAATATCCCCATCCTCAATGATGGAAGAGCCCAGCACATCAGTGCAAAAGATAAGGCTGAAGTGCCGAATGGATGATCCATGTCGGCCTCCTCCAGTGGTCCCCAGCATTACAGATACCAGTCTTCAGCCAATTCGATTCACTCCACGTGATATCAAGAAATGGTTGGAGACACTGGATACTGCAAAGGTACGGGCCCTGACAACATTCCGGCAATAGTACTGAAGACGTGTGCTTCAGAACTTGCAGCTCCCTTAGCCAAGCTGTTCCAGTACAGTTACAACACTGGTATCTACCTGACAATGTGGAAAATTGCCCAAGTATGTCCTGTACGTAAAAAGCAGGACAAATCCAACCCGGCCAATTACCGCCCCATCAGTCTCCTCTCGATCATTGTAAAGTGATGGAAGGTGTCATCAACAGTGCTATCAAGTAGCACCTGCTCAGCAATACCCTGCTCAGTGATGCCCAGTTTGGGTTCTGCCAGGGCCACTCAGCTCCTGACCTCATTGCAGCCTTGGTTCAAACATGGACAAAGGAGCTGAATTCCAGAGGTGAGGCGAGAGTGACAGCCCTTGATATCAAGGCTGCATTCGACCGAGTGTGGCATCAAGGAGTCCTGGCAAAACTGGAATTAATGGATATCAAGGGGCAAACGCTCCGGTGATTGGAGTCATACCTGACACATAGGAAGATGGTTGTGGTTGTGGGAGGTCAATCATCTCAGCTCCAGGACATCTCTGCAGGAGTTCCTCAGCGTAGTGTCCTAGGTCCAACCATCTTCAGCTGCTTCATCAATGATCTTCCCTCCATCATAAGGTCAGAAGTGGGGATGTTCGCCGATGATTGCACAATGTTCAGCACCATTCGCGACTCGTCAGATACTGAAGCATGCCATGTTCACATGCAACAAGATCTGGACAATATGCAGGCTTGGGCTGATAAATGGCAAGTGACATTTGCACCTCACAAATGCCAGGCTATGACCATCACCAATAAGAGACAATCTAACCACCACCCCTTGACATTCGATGGTGTTACCATCACTGAATCTCCCACTATCAACATCCTAAAGGGTTATCATTGACCAGAAACTTGACTGAACTCACCACATAAACACAGTGGCTACAAGAGCAGGTCAGAAGCTAGGAATACTGCGGCAAGTAACTCACCTCCTGACTCCTCAAAGCCTATCCACCATCTACAAGGCACAAGTCAGGAGTGTGATGGAATACTCCCCACTTGCCTGGATGAGTGCAGCCCTAACAACACTCAAGAAGCTTGACACCATCCAGGGCAAAGCAGCCCGCTTGATTGGCACTACACCCACAAGCATCCACTCCATCCACCACCAACGCTCAGTAGCAGCAGTGCGTACTATCTACAAGATGCACTGCAGAAACTCACCAAAGATCCTCAGACAGCACCTTCCAAACCCATGACCACATCCGTCTAGAAGGACAAGGGCAACACATGGTGGTGGAACACCACCACCTCCAAGTTCCCCTCCAAGTCACTCGCCATCCTGACTTGGAAATATATCGCCGCTCCTTCACTGTCGCTGGGTCAAAATCCTGGCATTCCCTCCCTAATAACATTGTGGGTCAACCCATAGCAGGAGGACTGCAGCGGTTCAAGAAGGCAGCTCACCACCACCTTCTCAAGGGCAACTAGGGATGGGCAAGAAATGCTGGCCAGCCAGCGACGCCCACATCCCACAAATTGAATAAAAAAACACGTATAACTGCATCCCAACATTACAACCCTCTCTAAATGCTACTCTTTCTGAAATGTCTATTCTACCTTAGCATCTTATCATTGCTTTAATGTATACCCATCACATACAGGGAAGACTTCAACAATCACTTTTGAAGGATTCATTTTTATTCACCAACAGCAAAAGTGAACAAAGCAACAGAAGCTGAACTTGTTTCTGGGATCAGAAATGATCGGTTTCCTCATGAGTACCAATGAATTTACAGTCAATGAATGACCACTGCACCCAACTCTCATCTACTAGAGCAACGGGTGTCAGTTCAGTTCTGTTTGGCTCCTTGTGCTTAAGACTGCTTCACTCTCTCGTGCAGAAGGTGATGTTCCTCCTGCTCAATGTCCTCATCTTTCTTCTCAGGAGACTGCTCACCCAGCACTTCAACATCCCTAACAACACCTCTTTAGCTGCTGCATTTGTGCAGAGCACAGTACAGAGCATAGCATGCTGGGATTAAGGTGGCACATTCTGTCCAGACAGCACTGCAAGGATCTGTCAGACTTAACCATCAGAACTTATCTTCAGCAGGTTTATTGTTTGCTTCACCATGGCCCTGGCTGAAGAATAGGCAGCATTGTATCTTTATTCTGTCTCAGTCAGAGGGTTACATAATGGACACATCAGATATGTTTGCAGAGGGAACACCACCTGTGACCATCCTTGTAAGGTATCTTGCCCCACAAATGCAATAGAAACATTGAAGGTCTCCAGGACGTAGGCACCATGGCTCCAAGGAAACCTGTTGCATACTTCCAAAGTGTCAGAATGATGCTCACTGGTGACTTGCATATTGATGGAATGGAACCCTTTTCTAATGATGAACGCAGTTGTGTTATGATACGACCCTTCCAGTGCAGAATGTGCAGTTTCTTGCTCCCTGTACCAGTGAGAAACCTGTCATGTTGCTAAATCCTATTGCTTGGGCTGCAAGACTGACCTTGTCACAGGGAAATGAGATGGATTGGTATAATCTGACACAAATGGCATTGGTCACAGCCTTTGTACATTTGTAGATGGAGAATTGAGAGATCCCACATAGGTTCCTAGTGGCTCCTTGCAAGGATCAGTTTCATAGAAGTTCAACACAGCTGTCACCTTGACAGCCACTGGGTAGGGCACCCACTGCATCACGAGGGGTTCTGCTCCAGAGGTTGGTGTAAATCTGTGACAGTGTCCCGGGATATCCTCATCTACGCTGACAATATACCTGGCTCATTCAGAGGGAATGTCGAGGACAGAGGATTCTGGGCCTCCAGTATCTCCTGCACATCCTGAGGGGAACTTTAGCTGTGCCCTCTTCATGTGCAAGCTGTTCAGTAACCCTTTGTAGGGTGTGAAGGGTCTAGGCCCGAAACGTCAGCCTCTCTGCTCCTATGATGCTGCTTGGCCTGCTGTGTTCATCCAGCCCTGCACCTTGTTGTCTCGGATTCTCCAGCATCTGCAGTTCCTACTATCTTTGTAGGGTGTTGTTGTTCATGGGTTAAGTTGCATCTTTGTTCCTCTTCCATTTCTCTGTGCCTTTGCTACACGACAGCAACAGAAACCATAACCTCTGCTAGGGTTGGAGCCATCATTCACAATTTCAATGAGCCTGTGTGGGAACCTAAGGAATAGAATAATTCCTTGGCAATGTGAGTAGTCAGGATTCATATCACTCACAAATAACATCATAGAATCCCCCAGAGAGTGGGGCATGGAGCACTCTGACAAGCATGGAATGTTTCTACATAGACCGACTGATGAATGCAGCACCAGTCACATCGCCAAGAGACATGAAGTGTTGCATGAG